GGGCCACATTTTGAATGCCTGGGGCCAACTGTAGGCCACGTCGTGTTCGTCGTGTTCCCAGAACACCACTCCCGGGCCACATTCTGAATGTCCGGAGCCAACTGTACGCCACTTTGTGTTCGTCGTGTTCCCAGAGCGCTATTCCCGGCACGTATCCACTGGGACGCACCCCTGTGCGTTTCCTCTAGGTCGTGCTCTGCACGTATCCACTGGGACGCACCCTGTGCGTTTCTTCTGGGTCGTGTTCGGCACGTATCCACTGGGACGCACCCCTGTGCGCTTCCTCTGGGTCGTGCCCCCGCACGTATCCACTGGGGCGCACTCCTGTGCGCTTCCTCTGGGTCGTGTTCCTGCACGTATCCACTGGGACGCACTCTGTGCGCTTCCTGGGGACCCGCTGATCACGTTCCTGGGCTGCACGCGCGAGGGCAAGCCCTTCCCACCGGAGGTCTGGTCCGCCTGGGAGAAAACGCTGGCCACGGACAACCGCGGCGTCCTGGACCCTCGGCTCCAGCACGAGAACTTTCGGCTCGGCTACGGCATGGGCATCTTCTGGGAAACGCTTGCGAGGTGGATGAACACGTGTGCTCGTCGCGACGCTCGGCGTCTGGGCGTGCCCCTCGTTTTCCTGCAGGCCGTTGACGCGTGCGGCACGATTCAGGGCGATCCCGACCCAGATCGGCGCCTCCTGAACGTCCCGAACATACACAAGACGGGGGTCATCCACGGCGTCTTGCCGGCCCGCGTCGGCATGGAGGTGCGGTTCACGGCAGCGCAGGAAGAGCTGAAAAAGAAGTTGGGGCTCGTGCAGGAACAACGGGCCACCGTCGTGTTTTTCAAGTTCCACCACGAGGACGAGCAGCGGCACGAGGAGTGCTCGGCAGGCCAGCTCTTTCGCCCCCGTTTCGTACCGTAAGGAATCTGGCTGCAGGCGCACGGCTTCAAGGAGTCCCGGATCAACCAGGAGGTCGCCGAGGTCTTGCGACAGGGCGCCGAAAACGCCGACGACGACGGCAACGCCCAGGCGCGGGCGCGGAGCTTGCTGATGTTCAGGCCCAGCGACAGGGAGCTCACATGGCAGAGCTCGGGGGCGCACAGCGTGCGCCGCTCGGGGTTCACACTGACGCACGCGCCCTACCTGACCTCCACGCTGTCGCAGGGCCAGACGCTGCGCAAGGGCGTCGCCATCGACTGCGCGAGAGACGAGGACGCTGGCCGCACGGGCATGTCGGACGAACAATGGTGGCTGCACCTCTACGTCATGCTCTCCCGCGCCACGCGCATGCGGAACATGCTGATCCTGCGGCCGCCGCCGCGAGAGTTCCTGGAGCGAGGGCCGCCGGCGTCCCTGCGGCAGGTGTTCCTGGAGTTCGACAAGAGAGCGCCTTTGTCCAGGGCGGAGGCGAAGCAGCTCGCGGCAGAGCTGGGCTTCGTGCTGCCCGCCTGAGCGCGGCTGCGCCCCGCTCGAAGCCCGCGGGGTTGTCCCAACGGTTTGGTCTTGCGCGCAAGCGGCTCGCGGGGTTGCCCCGACAGCCTGGCCCGCGGGGTTGCCCCAACGGCTGCGCGATGTGGCCATTAGAGAACGCGCCTGTGCTGGCCGAGGCGGCGACGGCGCCGAGGAAAACCGACATGCGCGCTCATGCAATGGAAAGGCGAGGAGGTGGCGGGGCGCGAAAAAAAAAACAGGAGGGCGAGTTCGGGGGCAACGTAGGGAGCAGGGGGAGGGCCCGCGCCAGGGCGAGAAGAAATATACGCAGAAGAGACAGCCAGGACGCCTCACCAACCACGAATACGACGGCGAGGGTTTTTTTCCAGATTCGCCCAGAAGATTCTCATGCGGGGTCCTTCTGTCGGAGTAATGGGAGTATTTTCTATTTGTCATAGAAAATCCCCCTGTAGGGGGACCCCAAAGTTGCCCAGCCGAGGTGAGGCGTGCGCGTCTCAGCCTGCCTCAGACTCCGACGTTTCTGGCGTGTGGCCCTTGAGTGTCAACGACACAGGGGAAGTGGCTCAGGGAGGACAACGTCGACCTTGAATCGGCGATGTGTCGCTGTTAGATCGGCGATAGATCCCCGATTGCGAATACGCACGTTCCTGGGCGGGGCGGGCTATCGGGCCTCTATCGGCGATGCACGGGCGATTGGGGGTCGACGCATCTCCCCTGAGCCCATCCCCCCCCTAACGTTGCCCCTGAGGCGAGACGTGCGTGCCTCAGACTGCCCACTCTCGCCGCGACACCTGCCTCGGACTCTGACCTCTGTGGTGGCTCTTCCCGTCCTGTATTCGGGGAGACGTATACAAAACTCGGGTTCGGGGGATTCGGGTTGACCTGAAGAGACGTCA